TAAACAAATATATAAAATGAAGCTGTAAAAAAGTTGCCAACATCGAAAGTGAAGTATCAAAAGCGAATAGGATTGCCCTAAACAGTAGAATTAAAAAAGCGGATAAAAACGATACAAAAGTATGCAAATAGTTCTCTGTCCCTATAACACGGAGCTGGACTAGAAATACACCAAATAAAGAGTAAGAACTAAAGTCATTGTTTGGATCGCGTGTCGTGCTGCAGATGGCCGAGAGCCACGCCCTTGACGACATTTCAGAAGCTCATAACGGTTCGGTTCTCCCCGCAAATACAACTGATATTCGCGCTCCATCATTTCACCATGAAAATACCAGTTGTAGTCATTGATGGGATATTCAAATCCTTGACGACATTCACATTTATAGCTCCCGGAGACGAAATAGCGACGTGGAAGATGGGTGCACTTTAGCCATGGGGTGGGAGAGAGTGAAGACAAAAAGAAAATGGTAGGCTGTCAGGAAAAAATCGCAATGTGACATCTGATGAATATTCTGCTACTTTATAGTTTCACAAAAATTACAACAGTCGTCTGGTTCTTCTAAATCAAAGATGACCAGCTGTCCAGATTCGCTTATGTAATGCTAGATTGCTAGCCTTGTGTAGCTGAGCGTCCTGCAAGGTATCTGTTCGCCCTTAGACTTGTGAAGAAAGTAATACGAAAAAGCAAAAAAAATGTTGTTCAGACCTAGCAATGAGTGATGCCGAGCACGTGAAACAAAACCCAACCACACAACTGGCTTTGTATTTGACTAGGCAGCAAGCAGTTGCCATACTGTAATGCGCCTAAAAAGGTTCATTACAATTGCACTTCCACAATTTTTCCAACTGTTTGTTACTTGAGAGTGGTACCGTTGTCAATCAGGAGGAGACGTCTTTGCCAGAAGTCTTCCCGACAAGGAAGAACAGGGCGACTACGCTTGTGGTGAACTTGTAGATAAAAAATTCGGTAATCTCGGAGTATTTTACAAAATTCCCTCAAAGAGTGGTGAGTTTGTTAGGTCGAAACGGAGTGGGCGTTTCAGTAGTCTTACGTAATAGTGAAATAACAGAATAAGTTTGTGAAGTGCCCATCAGACCTCTTATTCGGGTCATTTCAAACAAACACTTCTTCGCGTCTCACCCCGTTTATCCAAAAAAGTTAATCCACCGAAAACAGAAAAGAGGCGAAAATGTTAGCGGCGTTAAGGGCTCGCGTGATTTTTCTGATGCTTTGGCGAACCGTGGCAGCCGGTAAAAGCCAAAAATATTACCATTGTGTTAGTCAACCCAACCGAACATAACGCATTTGGTGGTTTGGTTAAAATGTGGAATTAAGTGCGAGTTGTTAGGCATTGTTTGGAGCAAAAAACTTTTTCGCCACTTCGATCAGCAAGAACCTGATAGACTCACCGGAGCAGTGACCTCTACTGCGAGGTAACTCACTACAGCGAAGAAAATGCAGTAATGAGGAAAAGTAAAAACATCAAAAAAAAACACCACAAAAACACGGAGTGAATAACTCGTGGTTACTGAAGCCTAATATGACGCTCAGTCAGACAACCTGGTGAAAAAAACATACGAACCTTGATAAGCAAGAGACTCACATAAGTTGACCGAAAGTCACAGCGAGCCGAATTTTTGAAGAAATTCGGTGTGTAAAACGACTGTGGGCATTGATTAATGTCCAGATCCATCAGTCTGACAGATATAGTTGTTACGCCCCTGCAAAATAAACAAACTTTATAGCATGAATAGAGGGAAAAAATTGCGTCAGAGACCATTTCTTATGAAGACTTAGATAGAGCAGGACTCGTCACACATTTATTTGCAAATAATCGATCTAGCAACATTTTGCAATACCCGCCTTCCTACCTACGAGGGCGAATGTCTTCGCTCCTGGGGCGATACTGCGTGAGACAAAGATGCTTACTAAAATCAAACACAGTGAAGGTTTTGGTTAAGCGTACACAGGCAGAACGTGTACGCGCATGTGTAGAAGGTGGTGTGCATAACTTCACCTTCGACGGAACTCTATCATGAACCTAATCCACAGAATACTTACAGCGCGGCCTAACAAAATAGCCATGTAAGGTCAACTGCCCCGAGCTGCGATAAAAAAAGTACATTAAAAAATCGCTCACCTGCAACCTACTATCGGTGCCTAGTTGACATGGCACCTGAGGGGAGCGGGAGGACTGAGGTACTGCCAGGTTACCCAAGCCTAGACAGGAGCAGTCGAGGGTTGGGTTCGAACAAAGAACCTTTGGGACAGTCATTTCGCGCCTTAACCACCGAGTTATATCGAGTTCAGTGATCCGCAAGTTCATAAGTGTTAACCGCAAATTAATGACATTAGCAGCAAAATTCCTAAATTCTGAGCATAGCATGTGTTGAAATACCATGTACTGCAGAACAGTCTCCGGAAATGGGAAGGCTACATGGCAGCTCCGACAGACAGTCATTGTTGTGTATTTTGAATGTGCCGTGAGTCCCAAAGGGGATACCACCTAACTACATGCCTGAGGGACCATTAGATGACGATATAACGTGTCTACCCCCATGGTCTCAAACTTCATGAACTAATTAGGATGTCAAAAGATGAGTGCCAGATACTCCAGACTCATTAATTTTTCAGTGAGTAGTGAAGTGCCTGCTCAAGAGCGTACCATTATGTCATCATCATCAAAGACAAAAAATAAGTGTTGACACTGACGCTAACTGCCGTACAAACACAAAGTTTATCTAATTATACCTAAAACCTTAGAGTGAAAAGAAAAGATTGGGTGGGAGAGGGGACCTCGTGCTGGCCTATGTCTAACATTCTGTGTCCACATTTGCAAGTGCTGTCAGACGATCTGAAAACTGACAAAACGAACGCCACTGACATTAATTAGCCGCCATTTCTTGAAATTTCTTCAGTCAAGCGCAACAGGGATATGAGGACCCCATCCTGAAAGACATACAACACCAACAGCACACAATCTCCTTGATGTCCTTGTGCCAATTCATACTTTGCCCACCATGAGGTTTGCGTCATTCTTAAGGAGGCACAGATATCAACACTCGTCTCGGTAGACGGTGTTTCTCATGCGTAGCACATGACCAAGCCACCGCAGTTGATGGTGCTGGATGTTATCTAATACTGATGTACCCAACGCACAACCAAATACCAGTTTCTAGTTGCCTCGCTACGAATTCGTTGACGCCATCCGACACAAACAACGTTTTTGGGGCATCACATGGTCAAAAACCTGAAAACGCCTCACATCATCTGTCTGCAGAGGCCACGTCTCGCAACCAAACGACAACACAGCTTTTACTGTAGCCCGGAACATACGACCTTTAAGACTCAGCGACCTGCCGTTTTGACGCTACAAGTGACGCAAATTAGTAAACGTGAATCGGACCTTTGGAATTCGTGCACTGACTTCATCAGACACACCGTCGTTAGAGATAATATAATTACGGAGGTATGTAAAATTCTCCACAAAAACCCGTGCTTCTATAAATTTAAGGGGTACGTCCACGGACTCCCGTTCTAAAACACGACTTTCCACTTTGAAGGTGCGACGCGCGTGCTAAAGGATGGCATGATAGTGATCAGTTTATTCAAGGGCTTATGCTTCAACTTCGTCTTAGAAGATAATGTAGATGTCGTCTGCGTACTCCAGCGTTCAGCTGTAGCACCTTTCCGGGGCCTAGCTGCCATGCTACCCGAAGGAAGCACGAGGGCTGGGATACTGCCAGGTTGCCCAAGCCTAGACAGGGGAAGTCGAGTGGCGGAAGTCGGATTCGAACCACGAACCTTCCGGTCAGTAAATTCACGCTCTAACCACTCGGGTCATCTCGCCCCTATGCGTACTCCAGGTCGACAATGTTCTCACCAGCAACGATGTGAACACCGGGGTTCTGAAAACCTTCCTGCATTCGCCTCATTATTTCGTCGATGAGGACAAGAACAGAGGTATTGGATGCCAATTATTGTAGGAAAGCTTTTGCGAGCCCACCACACATGCCAAGGAGTATGTGAATATAAGGACTGAAAAGTTTTCACAAGCTCCTGTGGCATACGCTGTTGAGCAGTTTGATTCAATTTCCCATTGTCAGCTATAAATCGTGTACCACAGGCTCATTGGTTCCAGCTGTTACAGATCGGATCATCGGGAAGCTGGAGAGTGTGGGACATATAGCTAAGCTTTGGAGGCGACGGCATGTTTGGTTAGTTGAAGAACTGGGTAACTACACATTGAATGCGATAGCTTTGATGCGAGAGCGCCAGTGACTGAGCGATTGGGTCATTTCTGCCACTATCGTTAATCATTGGTCAGTTGAGTCCTGGGGTCCTCATCCAGAAAGGCGGCAGTTGTCGACCAGACTCCATCTACTGGACAGTGTTTCTTTACTTCGTTATCAGGTCATGTACTCAAGATGGCTCAGTGGTTAGGGCAACAGCTTACGGACCGAAAGGTCCGTGGTTCCAACAAGACCCCAGGCATCCCAACTGCTCCTGTTTAGGATTCGAAAACTGGCAATAGTTCAGCCCTGGTGTCGGCTTCTGTTGACATGACAGCTAGGCACCGAAAGCGTGCTAAAGCTGAACGATTATTACTATTATCACTATTATCATTATTCATACATCGTCCACCTCTTAGTCGTTTCAACTCAGTAAAGGGCTGGGGAAAAGAGCTCTGCGAGGCAGACGGTTTTCTGGCATGCGAAGTGCATGTCCTAACGAGCGTAACCTATGAAGCGTGAGTAATTCATCCATCGCGAGAGAGTTCCTTCTTCCTAGGACCAGTTGGCGGGCCTAAAGATTAATAATCTGATGTTTTCACACAGATGGTTAAAGACTGATATTTTTTGTATGTCCTCCGTGCGTAGAGGCCACGCCCCTGATCGCGTTGCCGCAGTGTGAGCTCTGCCTTTGACAGACGTCAGGTCGGCGCCATAGGTGTCGGAGGTTGGTAAAAACGCCCTATACTTCCCGATTACAGAAGTAATCTAGGCCACTCCACCGGAACCTATACAACTGCCCAGGTAAACAAATTTATCTACCAAGTCAATTGATTCGGCCGTAAGCATGAGATTTGGGTTTGATTCCATCCTGTCTTGTAGCAACACTTCACACTTTGGAGGTGTGAAGCGTATATCAAACAGTGCGGTAGAGTCACTTAGGTCATTTGAAATGGTTTGCATTCTTGAAGGATCTGAACCGAGGAGAGCAATATTTTCCGTATACGTGTCTGTGAGGTGCATTTCGACCCCCGAGGTTCCAGGGGCAGGTAGAAAAGTTTCAAGCAGCACGTCAATATGAATGCTGAAGAGGAAAGGTAAGAAAGGGCAGCCATGTCTTACACTACTGGACGTGGTGAGCTTGTAGCGACCCAGTTACTCACATTCTTGACTGTTCAACTCACAGTCGCTCACTTGATCGCGAGGCTTGTCTTTTTTCTCATACGCACAAACACGTCGCATTAAGCTGACTCATCGGACATCGATTATCTGCACCGCCTAGTCAGCGTAGCAGCCACTCATGTGCCCACGCGCTCACATACACGCACTGGGACCTACATAAAGGCAAACCGAACCCAGTCAAGACACACAGACTCGCGCGCGCGCAGGGAGCAGGACGTCAACCTCTCCACAAGCCCACGGACATCATGGAACACGTGTAGCAGCCAAACTGCGGAGAAAACACGTTACCGCCGTCCGGACTTTCACCAAGACACTCTCACATACGATAAGTTCCTTTTTGACTTGCTCCCATTTCGCATTGTATTCATTTTTATACGTGTCGCAACCATGTTAAAAACTTCTATTAGTGCACATTCACCTTCTGATTTGTATTATGACTATCATCACCTGTGCGCTAATAAGCTCAGGCGCCCACAGGAATTCGCATACAGAGCCCTCTTAAGGGAAGAAATTTAGAAGGGACACCTTTGATCGCCAGACGCTGTCAAAGTTTCTGACGATCAACAGAGTCAAAAACAGGTTTCAAACCAAGGAAAACTATCAACGTGTGAAGTCTGCAGGAGAGGTGCTACTCAAGAACTTGTCTCAGGGCAAAGATATGGCCGATCCATCCTCGGTCAGGGCTAAAACCAGCTTGGTTCTTACGGATCTGTCTTTCCCGATAATCGACCAACCTGTGTAAAATAATGCCAGAAAGCACCTCAGATATGACGGATACCATGACGCTCTGGCGCTCTTTTCGAAGACTACCTAGCAAGTTTGGTTAACAGTACCAACTGATCGACAGAATCAAATGCACCCTTGAAGTTAAGGAACACCAATATTGTTGGTTATCTGCACATGTGACGTTGCCCCAACACCTGAAAATGTGGTCGACGTAAACTCTACGCGGTCGAAATCCCGCCTGACGCTCACGGGTCAAGGATTCGCGTGCAGCCCTAAGATGAGGAAGAATCAGTGATGCCAATAGCCCTGCTACAATCGGAGTCGAACTGACGTCTCTGTGGTTACTACATTTACTGTTAGTACCCATTTTGAAGATCAGTACCAGTATCGGTTCCTCCCACTTGACTGGGGTGTGCTCTTTCTCCCAGGTAGATGCAAATAAGCCAGACAAGCACTGACTAAGGGAATAACCACCATCCTTGAACAGAGTAGGTGGAAGGTTGCCAGGACCAGCAGCACGATGACGCTTGAGTAGAGATACACACTCCGACACTTCTGAGGCCAAAAGAGGTTGCACATTCGAGTCCGTTTTCTGTCGAAGGCCGATAGTTCGGAGTGTGGGTAGCAGGCGGTCAACTGAATTGTTGTTTGAAGTGTTTCGCCCAGTGGTCCAAGCGTTCTCCTTTGCTGGATATCAGAAAGCGATTCTGATACCTGATGGTTTTACAGACAAGAGGCTCCCAGGGACCAGTCAAACAAATAAAGTGGAGCAAATGAAACTTTTCCTTCCGTCCATTTATTCAGCGTTTTGGCTTCATTAAGATTATCGTTCATCCTGGTGTCGGATGGTGCGCCGGATTGAAGTGTAGTTGTGGTCAGAGAAATTCGTTACCGGGCTTCCAGCAAAGCCACGGAACTGTCAGAGATTGACTGTGTTGCACCACAGGCAGAAGTTTAGGCTTTCAGTAGCGCTTTGGAAGTCTGTTCCTAATGGTCGTTAATACTTGACATCGGACAATCTGACAGGTGTTCGATGAGTTGGTTCTCATAGGTTCGTTTTAATTCTGGGTCAGCGAGCTTCTTAATGGCTAAGCAAGGAGTGCGCGTTTTGCGTAGACCTGGAAAGCGCAACGTTAGCCAGCAGCGGACAATTGCGTGGTCGGAGTCCACGCTGGTATTGCAGAAGGAGCGGCAGGTAGTGATTGACTTTCGCTGCAGGTAACTAATGACAGTGTGGTCTATTCAAATTCGGAATCGGTTCGTTGATAGGCACCACTTTGTCAAGCAATTTCCGCTGTTCCGGAAATTGGTACTGCAAAGAAACAGTCTGTTCTCAGCAAACATCTGAAGTAAGCGATCCCCGTTATCCGCGCTTAGTCTAGCTACCCGAACCTTCATGTCACTAGCAACCACAACGATATATGAGGTTTTGGTCCGTTGTAAAAGAGCACTTAGGGCGTCGTAGAAACTTTCTTTGGCAGATTAAGAGCTACAGTCCATTGGACCGTAAGTACACACAACAGACAGGGAGAAACGGACCTCATTTTCTCGGGATTCTTTTACATATATTGCTGAGTGAACCAGGCATCCAATCAAGTAGAGACGCCTCCGCTCGATCGCTGAATACAATAACCACCACAGTATATCCAGTTGCAGCGGCTTACGGAGCACCGGAACCTGGAAGGGAGCTAGGAGGCAATCAGTTCAATTACAGTAATTGCGCCGAGTATCCTTGTTTCTGACAGAGCATACATCAATGCAGCGGGCGAGCATGAGCCGTTTGCTTCAGTGTGCAAGGCAGCTAGGCATATAGGCTTTCGGGGTATTTGGGTTGTTAGAGTAGTCGGACACACAGAAGCTGCAACTGAGTATAATTCATGGTGAACAGACTAGTCAGTCCTAGTGCTGGGATGGGCTAGGATGGAAGAGGGAATACGTGAAGGTGCGATAAGGGAGGCATAAGTATTTGTATGATTTCTCTTACCCGCACTGCTGTGTGCAGCAAGTAAGACGACTCGGCTGGTGATATAACGTGACGGTCGATGTGGCATGAGATTAGCCTTAGTTGCAAGTATCATGGTTGTACGAGGGCTGTGATCCTGTCAGGGTGCCCACAAGTGGCGAGGAGGACGATTAAGGTCCTCGACCAAAGCCTTTGGCTCAAAAACCTGACCACAGGGCAGGAAATGCAAATGCATTGATATCTTATAAAACAAGTTGCCATACATTTTCCAAGCCAGGGCCAGGAGACTGTGCTGGTCAGCCCTCTAACCACTGAGAAACCTGGTATGAGACTCAGTGAATACAGCACGGACACCAGCCAGTATGGCTCAAAGAGTCATGGAAGCACACAAACTGTATAGCCATGCTAAGATCCAGTCTCTCACATAACCATTGAACTAACATTGGAATGGGAGCTTAACTCAGTTTCTTTACGAATCAATTCCAACACATGCCTGCCATATGATACACGCGTGCCAGTTCAGCAGTCCACACTGACAGTAGCCGCTACAACATAGTCTGTAACCTGTGAACTTTCCCCAACGAGGAGTTGGGGTGGAAAACACAGCTCCTTGAGTAGACCGTGTTCGGATATATGTAGTGCCCCAACCAACTTAACCGGACACGCTTTGTCTGATGCCTAGTACTTGCTAGGGAACTACTTTGCTGCTGACAAATCGTCGGCTGCACCTGAAATGCTACGAAGACACTGGTGATCAAATATTTGAAGACGTGTGGGGTCTTCAGATAGTAGGGGATAAGTTTGAACGCCAAAAGGTCAGACTAGTGTCATAGTCGTCTTACCGTACCGTGCCCATTAACACTAGTGAAATACACTTTTAACACCTAAGCTTACGAAGAATGCTGGAGCCTTGATTATGCGTGTACTGATCACACGCGTCACAGTACGGACATAGCTTGCGAAGTTGATAAGCACGTAAACCGATCGACAAAATCACGACCATTGTCTCACAATTTTAGAACGATATGGGAGGATGATAAATCCTGAGTACTTTGCACTTCGAAGGTGCGAGACGCATACGGAAGCAAGGGACTATTCTGACTGTTCTACTTAGAGCAGTCTGCGCGGACACCATACTCACACAGCAGAACAATATCGTCTGTACAATGGAAGGCCACTAAAACTTTCCCAGGCGGCATTCCGACACCTAGATTCGTGACCCATTGGGGTGCAGAATAAGAATAAGAACAAGAGCAGCCCTGGGTTTCATTGTGAGACGTGTTGTGGTAGTAAGTGTCGAAATAAGGGACAGGAAGAGTAATTGAAAACCTCAGGGACATTCCCTTTTTACCAAATATATATAGAAGAGCCACTCTATTCATACAGTCCAGGAGCGAGAGATTAGCGACTTTCGGGTTCGATTATCTTCGTCCTGAGAGAGGTCAGTATATCGAACTTCACGAGAAAAGCCGTAAGGTGACTCACATAAAGCGCAACGCTCGTTCCTCGCCAAGGACACCGAAGAACGGCGCCGCATATGTAATGAGCCAGTCTTTTACCATCCCATCGCAGTCGAAATAGGGGTGCGTCCAGTATCCATCTTCGTAATGAGGCACGCGATAGTATATGGGGAAGTTGAAGTAACGCTGGATTTGCGTCCCGTTGACGTCGCTACGAATGTGTGGTTTCGTGGTGATTCGTTCGAGACCATAGCGACTGGAAGCCCAGCGATCCTAGAAATGGAGATGATTACCGATTCGTGGCTGTATTAAAAAGAAGACTACTATACCAAGAAACGTATAACTTTCCTACTTCCATCAGTAGTGAAAAAATAGTTGGCGGGTTATGGGATGTAAAAAAATGGAGGGAAATCCATTGCGCCAAACATCTGTGGGACTATTAAATCATTCAAGCCACTGAATAATTGCAGTGCCCCGTGACAACTCGTCATATAATGACACATAAAGGGGCGGATTCGACTAAAAAGCAGCCTAGTTGAAATCCGAGCTGTCAGTGACGTAATATGCACTACAGACCAATCCCAACCAACCTGAGACGGCTGTGCGTAAACACAGCCTTTAGCCACCGGTAGAACGTGCATCATGGGCGATTTGTTAACAGGATTCTCGAGGATAAAATAATCTTCGATAAGTACACTCGTTTACATAAGAATTTGGTTTTCACGAAGGATTCACCTGAAATGCAGCTGAACCTTTCATTTATAATGTTCTTCAGTTGAATGTGCTGGACCAGGCCGCTTCATGTTTCAGTTGGTACGATATTCGAGACATCGCAAAATTCTGCATAGAGGTAACACACTGCTCAAAAGGCTATTAATAATTCTTCGAGAGCCCACGACCGGCTTCGTCCTCCTTATGACTCATCAGCTAGGCACAGTTCCCGAGTTTCCATCAACCTTACGTTTTTGAGCCCAGAGAAGGGGAAAAAAGTCGAGGGATTTTAGCAACCTTGCGAGTAGTGTATTACGTTTATGCAGTGTGTCGCGATATCTCGAATACCGTACAAACTGAAACATGAGACGGCCTTTATGCAGCACATTCAACTGGAGAATATCATAATCGAAAGATTCAGCTAAGCTCCCATGAAAACCAGACTGGCATACAAATGAGTGTATTTGTCGAATTTCGCGCAATTTAGATTCAAGAAGAATACAAGGTCAGCGGAAACTCGACGGTTGTGCCTACCTGATGAGCCCCAAGAAGGGAAAACCGTTGGTGGGCTGTTGAAGAGTTTTCAGTAACCTTGTGAGGGTGTATCACATGAAAACCAGACTGGCATACAAATGAGTGTATTTGTCGAATTTCGCGCAATTTAGATTCAAGAAGAATACAAGGTCAGCGGAAACTCGACGGTTGTGCCTACCTGATGAGCCCCAAGAAGGGAAAACCGTTGGTGGGCTGTTGAAGAGTTTTCAGTAACCTTGTGAGTGGTGTATCACGTCTATACAAGTTAATCTTATTAAGTTGTATACACCTGTCTGAACATTGCCATCTTGATGTCGGTTCCACGCGCAGTCAGCCATGTAGATCTGGTGTGCTGGTATGAAGAAATACGTGTTAGTGAAACCCCTTATTCACCTCCCGTGACATACGACTTCGATCTGTTTCAACACAGTGAATAGTGATTTCCTGCTTGTGGCCGCGCATCTACTCGACCTTGACGCTCTATTTGTTTCCACCAGTTACAAAAGCAAACCATGTGCCATTTAAAGCACAAATGTCAAGTAACAGCTAAAACGATGGAGTGAAACCAACTCCGAAAAATATACGCTTTTTCACCTAGCACTCTACTACTGGTAGGTCTTCGTTTTTTGGCAGAATTTTTGCCAGAGTCACTACAGAATGAGTTTTCACCTTGTATCTCTTCACAGGTAGGTCAAGTCTGCCCGATGTCACCAGCTTCATGTTTTCTCCGTTAAAAAAGATCCATGTTGGATTGCGACACCCGTCACAGTGCTTAGCTTTTTAGGCCGTTTGTTTCAACCAGTACCTTGGGGATAGTCTTTGAGAGGCTTCACAGTATGAATAAAACTGAATACACAAGAATAAACCCTTAGGAGGTTTATTTCGCAATCAGTTTCCTCATGAACTACTTCAAAATAATGGATCCTGAGTACAAACACTGAAGGTCTTCGCCAGGAGGCATTATGTATTTCTAAAGCGACAGAATTATTAAGGATCACAGAATATATGGACTGAATTCTGAATTAGGAACAAGAAATAGCTATTATAAACAAATCGGATAAACTAATCGACATATAGGGCGTCTGAGAATGCTTATAGCCACAACAGGAGAGATGGAAAAGAAACGAAAGAAGGATTCTTTTCAAAAGAAGACAAGACAATCCTAACACCCATACCTTGAGCGCTCGAAACCATGGTTTCTCCGTGTAGTCACGAAACTGCTTGATGCTCATGTCGATGGCTTCAACAGCCTGTGTACTTCCAACTGGCTTGTAGGCGTACGGTGCGAATAGATCCCAAGTGACTTGATCATGATCGGTAAACATTTGATAGTCAAAGAAGATTCCACTGGAGACAATGTCGAAATCGGATAACACATTTGACAGCACTTCTCCAAACAATTCATACCGGTTGAGCGGAAAGCCAGTCTGCATGAACAGTTTGAGGTGCACCGGTTAACCAAGTGCATATTGAGAAAAACACATCGACTGGTGACTATCGAAAACCGATCGAGATACTACATAGTTTTAAACAGAATTCTAACTTTGAACAATGGTCTGAACAGGTTATCACAGAAGATGCATAATAAGATATCAATATGCTACATACCGTTGTGAGTACAGAAGCAGGGCAGATCGAGAAACACTAGGACCGTGAATATGTTGAATCACCGCGGTCTACATCACTAACATGTCTGAGAACATGTTTGCGCATGCCACAAGACACCTGTCCTTCTTCAATGGAGATTTAATCCTGCGAGTGAAGTAAATATGTAGGAAAAAGCCGAGAGGCACTCTACGGCTGTTCCACCCTTATTGGGACAAGCGGTAGAGTGAATCTCACGAAACTCCCGGGCGATTCAAACTCGCATCCTCCCAGTTAGTAGTTGGAGACTGAGCTGTTGAGCTACAAGTGGCTGATCAGTGATGGTCAACCCATACTTGAATAAGATACAGCGCCACTGATCCTATCAAGGGATTCACATCACGTGTTTAGATAATGACCAGCTCTTCGAGTGAAGGCTTCTGAGATGGAACATTCGCTTCTGAGCTATCTATATGTTGCAGGCAGCACACGGAGATTTGGGAATATTTCGACAAGGACTGTGTCAAGCAGCAGATAAGCAGCAAGTATTCGAACGGTTGAATACTCACTTATTATCTGGGAGCGTGTGAGTTCGAATCACCCCTGAGGTTTGTTGAAAGTGCAATGCTGATGATGTCCAGTAAGAACGAAACACCTAAAAGTGCTTCTCGGTACGGAGTAACTTCACTTCAAGACAAAATCTCCTCAAAATATCAACACAAATGGCACCCGTTTTTGCGAGGAAGGGTTGTACTTTTTTCAGTGCTAGAAATGAATGGGTTTATTTAAATCTTAGACGAGACACAATGCACAATTCTGAGGGCTTCACCAAACTCCACTAGAGTTGATCCTCTGTGAAGAGAAGCCGTTTCAGTTGGTTTCACTGAAACCACTCTTATGAACTCAGTGTAGGACACCAGACTGCTTGTCCAGAACGTTGGAGTGACACAATGTTTTTTGTCGGACATCGAGATTGAGGCACTTTGGTATGGCGTAGGTTGAACTGGTGCCCTGAGGCGTTTCAGAGGGTTTCTGGTCAGCTAGTAATTGAAACACTGACTAGGCACTACAAGCCACTTCATATCGCCAGCGGTGGTGGGTGTATGCGAACCCTGAAAAAAGGATGAGCATTCACAACATCGGTGCAGGCATTGTCTTGTTGTCCTTCCCGAAGTGCCAGTACCTTTTGGTATCTTGGATATTATGCCCTAATAGCTCACACTTCTTTCGAGGACGTATTTATCGACAACTTCGTCGCAAGTGGACGAAACGATACATGAAAATACGGGGCAAACTGATTTACTGACCAAGCTAATGGGTCTCGCTAATGACTGACCAGCGAGCCCCAGTTCATCAAAGCGAAAATTTTTAAAATGAACTGTTCCACAGCTTGTCTACAATCCCGACACCAGTTTTGAACACCCGTGATTCACTGTCACAAAAAAATCCCAAAAGCATGAGACACACCAAGTCCAAAAACAGGAGCGACTCAAAAAAGCTTGACAAGCACAAACAACGGCAGAACCGGAGTCATGGCGACATGAGCAACAGAAATTAATAAAACCAGATTGCAACGTAGGGAGACACCTGCTTTAAACCAAATAATGCTAATTCGACCTGTCTGTTATAAGCAACACATTCCGACGTGCACACCGTAAAACGGAGAGGCATTTTCGTATGGAATTTTCGATTTTTGACCAGCATCCTTAATGTGATAGCCTGTGCCAGTCGAGGACAAAAACGGTGAACGCGAAAAGGGGTAGAGGAACAAGGTGTCGAGGAGTGTTAAGATGCAAGCAAAATTATGCTCACTGCGGTTGCACACTGTATACCAAAAAGGATGCCTTAATTTGAGAAAACAACGGTGTGCGTAAGAAAAACAGTGGTCCCCAACAGAAGACGCGGACACCACGTTGAAAACTAAATACCTTCTTAAACATCCACATCTGTTGAAAAGAGTTTGGGTGAGTTACCTGTGACTGAATTTATATCCAACGAAGGACCCAATGCAAAAGTGTAAATGCCTCATAGCGTTACATGAAAACGAGCCGACGACATCAGTCCGACGTTTGTAAGCAGATTGTCCAGCTCAGCGAGCGAAATGATTAGCAAAAGTCTTTGGGTTATTGCTGTACGATTGTGCGTAAAACTGTATTCTTTGTCGCTAAATAACAACTTTTTCTACTACGACGAGCGGAGGGGAGTACTATACCACCGTAACGATAGAGACAAGCATGAAACGTTGTTTGGAAAAGTACGACGACTAGCAAAACTGCTTACGATTAGACTTCCATAAACTTCTCCGACGATGCTGTTTTGGTAGTATGCGCTGAGGAAGTGGGCAAGCCTCAGGGCAGTCCGTCCAGCCATCTCAAATCTTTTCTCAGCTCCGTAGCTCACCTCACCAGGGAACACCAGCTGATCCGGAGTCATTGTGTGGCAGTTCTTACTGGTCACCCGTTTTGCATGGGCAATCAGACGTTGAACCTTGTGACGGATAAAATAGGTAAGATGGACATTGGTTGACTTGAGTAGTTGGATTGTAATACGCAGAGTGTCGATCGAATGCTTTCGGCCTTTCCTGGGCTAACATACACTATTTATTTCGGAGTTTTAACCGAATACTAGAGCAGGATTCCGGACGCTTGGCGTGATGCACGGGTTTAGATGTAAATGTTTTCACGTCAATGTGAAAATATACACCAAAAAGAAAGGCTTTTGACAGACCGGGATTCGCATTAACGATGTATAAAAGGTAGAAAACGCCGTGTAGATATATAAATGCTGACGGGTACCGTCAGGATAAATCAGAATACCGGTACAGCAGGATACTACTTGAACTTTTAAGAGTGCAACCGTACACATCAACCTGACAGTCGGAGGCAAAATTAGAGTGAAATACCCACGTAACTAAACTGTGGACAAGGGGGCTTCCACACTAAAGATCTACGCCACTACACGATGTCCAACGAAACGAAACAGGAAAATGTGAGCCCGAACTTGGAGCCCCTTACCTCCATGAATCGATCCTCGTTGAACACAGTCCCCTCACCAACAGTATAAAATGGTGCTGGTCTTTGACGCTTTTTCCTAGAAAGTCGACGCTGTTCTGATGTAAAGTTGCTATGTACCACGGTAGCTGGAATGATATTCTGAACACCCGGAATCTCTGTGTTTTCTGGAGATGTCACGTTGAAATCCTCCAAGCCAAATGGCAGCAAGTGGGGCAGCGAACGATAACCCGGTACAGTGCCATTAAGGGGCAAATTGATAACTGGTTTCAAGTTTGAAGGTCCAGAATCGGGGGATTCAGGCTGCCTGGAATTAGTGATTACTTCTGGCAAGCCGTCGGGTCCATAGGTTGTCGGAACAAATATGGTCTGTCCCTCTTGCTCAACACCACCCGAAGCTGGAGTGAAGTATCGAGATAGAACAGAACTACTGTGTAATTGGGTAGTAGTTACGAAAATGAGTTTTTAACTAGACACAAACAGGTGTCCAAGGTTCTAACACGGGTTACTCGGGAATCCAAATAACATATCAAATCCCAGCAAAACACTGGTAGCTAATACATAGAAGGAAGATATTTTGAGTTTCCACCATGTAAATGGTCGTATGTAGCTTTTTTGTACCGACGGACGGAGAACTGCGTACCCCGGTATTTCATCACAAGTCGACTTAACGAAAAAGGAAAGACGGACTGTGAATAATTTTTAAGGTACTAAAGCCATCAAATAACGGCATTTTGTATGTTCGAATCGATTTTGTTTCCTCCTTATTCAATGCTAGATAGTCCAACTTTTTTCAATACAGTTCATAGACCGAAATTCACGAAATAAGCAACAAAGGTGTAGACATTACGGATTTTTTCTAGTATCAACGTTACACAAGAAAGCAACTGTGTGTCTTCCCCTGAAGATGCCAGGCTAATGCGACTGAATTAGCTCCAAGTGGTCTTGTGATCAATTAAAACCATACGTCCGCTTCATTTGAAAATGAAGCGGACTCCATACACAGTTGAAGTGTTATTCCTTAAGCCGTTTGGAATTGCCCGGGCGCCCGGAAGAAACTAGTTCAAAGAACCTAACTATTGACTTCACCAGCTGATATGATGAGTATGACGTGACGTCAACAGCCAATCAACAAGCAAGTCCGTTTCAACAAAAATTTGTATGCTGGTCAATTCATCCCTTGTAGACGTGGGAGTAGATAACCTCCGCTAAACAACGTACCTACGGGCTGACCAAAATCACTTAACTTGTACGGTAATTCTCCCTGGGGTTACTAGGTCACCGCCAAAATGATTAAGTCCAGGAAATTTTATGCTGTCGATTTATATATCAGAAAGGTACCTAAGGTCAGACGCTATTTCTGTGATCATGACTCCACTTGATTGCAGTCGTTCTGATTGTTTGCAACTGGTGTGTAATCAACCAGAATTAAGTGCAGATACTCTCATCTAGTGAGTAGGGCAGATTGAACAGCAATAATGTAATGCTTTCAATTTTCCATCCACAGTTAGACATTGGTTATTCTTACGGATTGATATACGGCCCGTGAACTTCAAGTGTTCACAATCACTCCCAGATTGCTTAACATGTCATATTCTTTTCCATAGAATGTCAGAAAATCTCTCTATACGATGGTAAAAACGGCTCGTTCAGTTTCCTTGATATGAAGCTACTTATAGGAACGATGCAAACTCCTGGGCGGTTGACCACTGGTTACGTCATTTCTAGGCCAATTAACCGAAGTGACGTCAATTATATTCTGCTCATTTTGTTCTTAACAGCAAGATATGTATTACAATGAATATCAAGACTAAGCGCACCAGCTACCTACTCAGTTAATTTACGCTCGGTATGAGTTGCGATGTTAACATGTTTGTCTAATCGGAGACAAAACATGTGTGAATCAACAGAACTAAAGCTAGCGAGTATACACTCAGCTGCAAATTAATTTGGTTTTCCGAGAGACTCACCTGGAACCCAGCTGAATCTCTCGTTTGTGGTGTTTTCAGAACAAAGTTAATTCTTAGCTAGGCCAAACTGATCAATAATGGAGAGAAGGGTGACAGCAATAAGACTGCCTGATTTTGAGCACTACTTGGTGGTGAAGTAACACGAAAGAGCTATGTCAAATGTGCAACCTGTTGTTATGTGTACAAACTGAGTTGAACACTGTGGGTGCTATGGTGTTACCAAAGGGACAGATTGCTTCAGAGCTTCAGTCGAGCAGAGAAGCAAACGTATACAGATAGAGGGGCTTCAATGACCGCTGCGTACACCAAGAAATTTCATGCTGATATTTTACAAACCATAGTAGGGAACAGGGTAACGAATAAACTGTGGAACCTTATGGCTGAAAGGTTTCAAACGAGCTAACTCACTTGGAGACAGGACGTTCAGCAAGTGACGAGCGTAGCGCTTCAGTTTTCCCCAGAGAGACGTCCCACCTGCGGTATAAACCAGAGAGAATACATCACGTACGGTGAATCTGCACATCAGATTTCTAAAATCATGGTATTGTGTCGACAAATCGACATAACACGGGATAAATTAGGCGGTTCCCAACTGAGGAGAACTTTTCCAGAGGATACCTCCTGGGAAGCGGAGGCAGAGTACTTGAAGATGTAAGCCACTGAAATATCTATTTTTCGCTAGATTCATTTTTCCGTTGTTACTTAAGACAGGTATGTGACCAGCATGCGCGTGATGACACTAAAAAACGACAAAGAATCGGTCCGACTATGGGCAAGATGGATACCGTCTTTTATTTGTCAAATTCACTTGCCCTAATGTATGATGTTCACAAATGCTTTGCTGTTCGTGGAATCGCTGTAGGATATAAGTTAACTTAGTCTGTTCCCGAAGTGTCTAACCGAGCAATATCGTTATGTCCACCGAAAGCAGGACGTAAATTGGTTTCAGCATCATCATAACATTTTAGAAAACCTACACAGATGGTAAAGTCCCTTAAATTCTGCATGATTTCCATCGTACTTTGAGCAAGTTTGCTCATGTACCAGCTGATTTCCAAAACAATCTAAGTGTTAAGATAAGGAAGCGGAGATTCTACGCTTTGCCCTTATTTGCGACAGTACACATCCACGAACCAAATATCTTGGGTCTGCTATAAAGCAGAGTAGTGATGCGAATTCCATTGTGCCATTTCGAAGGTCCACTGCGTTTCGGGAACTAGTCAAAAAGACTGCCTACAACTGGCATTGTTTGCCAAGTCGGCAAACTTGATACTTCGCAACGAGATTTGTTTTCTTCCTGTAATTGGTGACCAAGTTTATCTACATCTACTACTTGCGGGCAGCTGACGTTTTTTAGATTCAGCGAAACTTGTGGAGTGGAATGATTCCTCGCCATATACTGAACCTTCCAGCTGTAACACCCAGTGCCCAGCTGCTATGCCACCCGAAGGAAGCACGAGGGATGAGATAATGCCAGGTTGTCAGAGCCTAGATAGGGAAAACGGAGATGCAGAGGTCGGGTTCGAAACACTGACCTTCTGGTCAGTAAATTTGCGCTCAAACCATTTGAGTCATCCCGCCCTATAGTGTAAAGGATCCAAATAATAAGTGAACGAAAACTGAGTGAAGTGCAGGCTCTGTATCCAACGTTGAACAGTGCGAAATGCGGAAATCGCGAGGGGTTCAAAAAAACTCCGTTAACTAAAAGACGGTGGTATAGGAAGATGGAAAGATTTGAAAACCAAAGAGGGAAGTACACCCCAGAGGAAAATTGGTAGTTTTTGAATAAGCGGCTAGATAAAGACCAAAGGAGTCAACCAGTGGGTTGACTGAAAATATATTCGTTAAACTAACTCCTCCGTGTAGCACGAACAAACGAGTATGACGTTTTAGAAGGTAACAGGCACAAGGATATGAGGAGCTTACATAAGAACCTGATTGCCAAATCACATCTCGGTCTATCTTCGTCATAAAACAAATTCTTTACCAGAGAAATGAACCCCCATTTTTTCGTGATTGACGTAACTTTGGTAGAGCATGGAGACAGGATGATGCATAGCTAAATTGACCACGCAGTGAATCCTATAAAGCACTTCAAATGAAGGGAACTCGCGGACGCGTCAAAGAGCCGATGAATCACCGTGAGGTCCCACTTTATTGTGACTGTCGAGTTGCTGTTTTACTGACGAGATACACCAACAGTGAGCAGTTTGAACGACAGTGATTATGCTGACCAGCTTCTGGCTCATAGCTAGCGTGCCATCCGAGGGATGCAGGTTGGCTAAGATACTACCAGGTTGCTCAGGCCTACACGGGAGCAGTCGATAAATCGAGATTGGGTTCGAGTCACGGACCTTCCAACCAGTGAGTTCGCGCCTTAGCTGAGATATCGAGCTGAAAGAAAGGCGATGTAAACCATCATAGAAGAGTGGAGCAGTGAAGCATCGGTGTTGAAAACTGATGTCATGCTGTCGATGATGATGGAGCCACTTTATTCAGGTGTGTTTTGAATTCCGCCAACAGTCAACAGGTCACTGATGTGAACGGCGGTTCAGGGATTGTATAGTGTGATGCCCTTGTCTATGTGGTTGATCACCATGTGGATCTTAACGCCCTGATTAACGATATGATCTTCATCATGACAAACGAAGACGAAGCCGGCACCACCAAATTTATCCAATGGTCATAGACAAGAAGAGATGCGGTTATTGATGTACAAATCACTCTCTAAGGTGGGGTAGACAATTTCTCAGCATATCAGCGACCTTCTGCTGTGAACTGAATTTCATTCAAGACAGAATCCAACCACTGCTTTCCGCGTAAATGGAATACAAAATAAATGCGATAAATCGACCACAACATTTACGAGCCTTCAGTCCTAAAATGAACTCTGAAATTATATTACAAGGTGTGCTTTGTACCGCGTGCCTCTGGTACCAATAGGTTAAAGGTAAGTTTAGAAAAGACAAAACACGCTAAGTTTTCATACCTTTGGCGCCCCTTTGACCCTGTAATGTGTCTAGGTAGTCTGACTGAACACTGCTCGACACCAATCTGGATTCAGTATTTTCTTTCAATCCTGTCTCCTCCGGTATCACCTCCCGCCAGCCTACTGGGAGGCAGTCGAATCCGTTCTGGTATTCCTCTTCAGTAGCTATCTCAATGTCTATCCCACGGAACGGACCGTTCTGTCCGGCAGGAAGCCGATGTCCAGGTTGGCACACACACTCATAGCCACCGCGTCGAAAACCGAAGCCTGGTAACGGTACGCACTAGAAGAGGTAGTTAGCAAAAGCAAAAAAAATTAGTAACAGACCGAGATACAGAGGAACCGGAGAATGGTGTCAGTGAGAGATATGCTTAGTTAAGCAGAAAACTACAAATTTTTGGGGGAGTTGAGTAGAAATTCGGACGAAAACACGCTCCACAAGTGGAATGTTATTTGATAGATTTTCCATGTTGACAAAACGACGGTAGGAATTGGACCAAACATAGTTCAGGTACACCATACACTGGTTTGACTGACAATGGAATATAGGTAGGACCAGCTGCCGGTTGTTCCTTCGACTCTCATTCAGGAGTACTAAATATTATGTTGCGATCGATAGTCTAAGAGCTGTTCACCGACAGTCTACCGGTCGGTTTAAATGAAGCATTGCTACCTGGGAAGTAACCCCAAAACCTAGTTGTTACACACAAAAACGAAAAATGCTATGCACATTGGCTAGTAACACAACAAATCCACTCCCATAAAACCAGCAAACTTCAGTTCAGCGCGACAGCTGCTTGATGAAGAATCTCACAGGCGATGTGGCAACGAGGCTACTATGATCTTTAGATAATACAGATGACTTATGAAACACAACAGAACAGGTGAGAAGTGTAAAGATTGTAGATTAGATGAATGCTGATTGGCTCGCCGAGTTTGGCAATTCGCTTACGAACGTTTCATCACCAATCGTGGGAACATCATCAGTGCACGGCTGTCCCACGGTTGGTGACAAAACAGCTGCAAGCAAACTGCAATACTCGGTGAATAGATCAACGGCTATCTGGCCTACCATTTAACGCATCCGATGTATTGACAGTGTGCAGATCACCATGAGTTGATTCTGTGTGAATATATAGTGACGAACATTGATGTTTTCGGGATCTCGTCATCAGGTCAGTATGCATCTAATGGTTAGAATAGGAGCGAAAAATGAAATACGCCGCGAGGATTGGTTAGTGAAATGCAATCTTTACTGTATATTTCATTTTTCGCTCCTATTTTAAGCATTAGATATGTACTGACCTGATGACGAGATCCCTAGAACATTAATGTTCGTGACCGTGTTCTTTTTCAAGTCATGGGGATGTTTAAGCGAATATATAGTAATTTCAAAACAGATTATGTGAAAACTAAATAGTGTTTTCAAATGTGTACAGTTACATCCTGGGGAGGTCAGCCGACGGGAATTTCACTCGTGAGTAGTAGGGGGAAATACACGAAACCTGCGAAAAAGCACGATGCAAGAAGTGGGCGTTGGTTTAGCCATCTGCTGACTAATTTGGAACAATCATATCATAGCCGGACTGCCCATCTGTCTAGTTGCCATCTAGCTTCAGAGACTCTGCTAAGTTATAACCGACGAGCTTCGGGATTTACTGGTGATCGAATTTCCATAAGCCTGGCCACGCGAGGAAATTAATCTGTGGCCAAATCCTTCGTGAGGAATAATACTACGATGGATTTCAATGGGCTGAGATTATTGGATCTGACTGCATTCGCTATAAAATGGAGCATCTTAATTATTTGCAACGGTGTAAAGCAGCCCCAAAATGACTCCAATTAGAGTGGACGTTCCCTGTGAAAACATCGGAGAAGCTCTGTCCGTAAGTGATGGTAAATTAGATCGGCTAGGTGGAGCCGACGACGTTGACCACGGTGTTTCAAAGTGACCACAAACCCCGATCGTCTCGTATGAAATGCAATTCGTAACAGTGGGACTTTAGAGTAGCGTGCAACAAGCACTAAAAGCCATTCAGGAAAATGGTATATTATCAACAGAGATGAAGGAATGTCTTCCTTCTTTCTACACTGGCCATCTATTGAAAGGGATCGTTCCTCAGGAGAGACCACTTTATTCTAGCCCCTGATGTGGTCGCTTCAAAGTGCGATGAATGCATGTCAAACGACAGCAAAGCAGAGTTACTTACTAGTGTGGTGGGTTTGCACCTGGCAATGTTGGCCAGAAAGTGATTCGGATTGCCAAGACCCGGTGGACATGGATTGAAGTCAATGCGGTAGAAGTCTATGCTTTGTACTATAATCCCGACCATGCTGTAACAAGGAAAACGGTAGGGACGAAAACGCTGGTGAGGAGACTGGATTTTTCTCACGGGCTGGATGGTAAATCACAAAGGACCGAACCCGATCATTACGCCAGTATAAGAGCATTGTAAACAAATAGACCCACTATCCACTTATTATTGTGTACCAAGACAAGGATAGGAAACTATCGCGCAGAAGGCATAGGGCACCGCAGTTTTGTTGGAGTTTGTTAGCTTCACAAAACATTGAGTGTATTAGGAAGTTAAAAGGAAAGTAAATTGCACACGGCTCGCCCTTTTGACTGTGTCCAGCGTCCTCAACACAACCGAAAAGAGCTGGATAAAAGGTAATCTGCGAGCAAAGCATACACATATAGGTAGACTAGGCAAGCGGGGCTATGGATAAACTCACCCTGGTTTTTCCACTACTGTCTTTGGACGGCTTTTGACAGAGCTTGTGCTACGCACGTCTGACAAGGAAAATAACTACGGGAAGTCTCAGGATTCATGTGTTGTCAACGCTGCTGATCACGATCGGGCTTCAAGCCTCGCTTTGCCAGTCCTCCTCAAGGAAACTAGTTCATACTCTGCTTATTGAGGCATGTTTTGCAACTGTGCTGCACTCTGAGCAGCATCCATTTGCTACAAAACTATAAGGATCCACGCTCTGTGGAATGGATTCATCTAGGGTAGGACGACACTTCAAACAATATATGGAAATAAGTCAGGATGACTTTGACGTAATGGAAGCTAAAGACATTCAGCAATACCTACCGTGGTCCACGTAAACGCGTTATATTGGAATAGCGGGGCATATAATCACTTAAGGCTGCGACCGAGCTGACGATCCAGCGATTGCTAGCTCCACAATCGTAGTAAGGTCGAGTAAAACGGACCGGAAGGAACGTTTCTTTGACACCGGGGGCGTTGGGTCCGTAAAATTTGAGTGTCTCCAACTCTTTGATAGGCTCACCAGTTATATCGGCCAGCTGTATTTTCGTGGTGTATTGATTTTTGCTCGGTGCTGTACCTCGATCATCCGGAATGAAGTTGATACCCATTTCACGATCACGTATGTATGGGTTGTTTTTGTACCATGGAGCGGTGTAGTTGCTATTTGGTCCAGCACCCAAATCAGTAATCTATGTAAGTTAACAAAAATAGGAAACACAAGTTCTCTCAAAAACACACTTCTACATCAAAGCGGTTGCTCCCAGAAATGCACACTCCCGAAAGGATTTAGAACAGTTTCCTACGAGAAACAAAAAGCTGATTGATGTCGTTGTGTTTGTGAGGGGGAGCTGCTGCTAATATCTACAGTAAACAGCGAAAAAAGAGAAACAGCATAAACTCATCATCATCATCATCATCGACAGCATGACATCAGTGTCAACACCGATCTACATCAAAGCGGTTGCTCCCAGAAATGCACACTCCCGAAAGGATTTAGAACAGTTTCCTACGAGAAACAAAAAGCTGATTGATGTCGTTGTGTTTGTGAGGGGGAGCTGCTGCTAATATCTACAGTAAACAGCGAAAAAAGAGAAACAGCATAAACTCATCATCATCATCATCATCGACAGCATGACATCAGTGTTCAACACCGATGCGTCACTGCCGTACATAGCATACACAGCATAAACTGTCACCGGAATAATGGAGTTTTTTCTGGAACAGAACATTAGCAATGAAACTAACTAACTAGCTAGCTAACTTCCTCTTGACGAGATAGATAGAACTAAACGGCAGGAATGATATCTGTCACCATATGGCGAAGTAAACTTACCAGTCAGCTTGTAAAACAACCAGGTATAAAGATGTATGACGGCGGTCGTGGCAGATTTTCGTGTGGCAGTCCCACTCGAACTTCTGATATTGCGGCACATTCTTTTCCAACCAAAGTGCTCGAGGAAAAATATAAGTGACTATCCGTGACATAAAGCTTTTAATACGGCACCCAATTTCACCATCCTCATTGAGGATGTACAGACAATTATTACACACATATGGAATTTTCATGATTTATGGGCCTATTACTCGTCGAAATATTACTTATACTTCGTCCACGAGAATGGAATGATTAGAACTGCTCTCATATCAATTAAAAACAGGCAATAAGTGGAACCAGGAGCATAACGAAACCTCCAAAACAAGAGTCCTCCGAAACCTGGGATTTCCGACCCCATCAGTCCCTAACGTTTTAAGATTGGTCCCTCCAATACTGACACTGAATGGGCTCCCTTAAATTGACAAGCAAAAGATCGATCTTGTCGGCCACGGACATTACCAGTCAATCCAACACCAGTTTCAAGCCAAGTCGGGACAAACTCCGAGCATACGGAGATGGGCTTTCAAACATCCGGTATGGTAGTTACAAACGAAAAATAAACGCACATGGTCCACGGAGGTGGTTCTCAAATGTTAGTTATAACATGCTCACGGTTCACCAATAAAAAAAGAGCGACCAGTGTTGATTTTGCATTCCGCAAATATGGTCAAATAGATAGAATTGTGGATTTGTGCAGGATGTTAAAATGGCGTTGGAAGAAATAACCGTAAAATAGCTGATTAAGATCAGATAAAATGCCTGCAAAAAAATCGTACATGCGTCAAAATGCCAGGACGATCACGGAGAGCCCACAAATGTGGATATGATTTAAAGGGATCCAGCGACTCCCGGAAAAAGGCGGAAGCATGAAGACATAGTGGGAGAAGGATTGAGGGATCCAAGCTGTACGGAACCCTAAAGTAGGATTAGGCAAGAGAAATGTCTGAACCACACAATGAACATAAAGCAATCTAACCTTAAGAAACAAGGTCTGCGTCTGACATGGCATAGGTCGTGACTCAACTCATGAGAGTCTTCTACGTACGAAAGGGTTGATAACACAAAGGACTGAAAACTGTGCTGTATGATGTCGTAACCGTTATTCTTCGTAATTCTCAAGGGTGCAACGATTGAATTACGCAAAGTAATTTAACAGAATGAAGACCAAGCCACTTCTGGAAATAAGTTAAATGACCGTTACCAGAAGTCAAATTCGTGGGGTTGAATGTTAGAGAGCAAAGCACGACACCATTGGTGCATATACAATCGATGGCAGACCCAGCTGCCGGAGGGCGGGACCATCGTGCCTTGAAGGAAGCTCGGATTATTTAGGAGGGTAGCAAAGTTATGGGTGCAGATTGTGTTCACTTGATAAAACAACAACGGGAAACACCTACTAAACCCCTATAGATGTCAGGCGTATCAGTGTCGTCAGAAACTACCAGTCAGGCTTACTCTTGTGCATCTACATTTGAGACAGTACGTCGCACACTGAAAGCTACGGATGGCAGACGAATCTCAACCTATCAGATAAGTTCGTCTAGGTGGCCAGTTTTTCACACTCATTCTTATGCAAACAACCTAACAATCGACATACTTCAATCGTATTATTGGAGGGTATGCGCAAAAAATTCATTTCATCATTCCAGTTATCCAAACGCCTGGCAATCGGCCCGAACAATGGGAGCGTGTGATTGATCACTTTCAGCCCGTACCAGTTTGCATAGGTCGTATTCGTGTCCATTAGAACGGCACTAGCGTTCATCACGTTCGGACCAGCGGACACGTCTGCTGCAGCAGAAAAATAATAGTACATCAAGGACGGTAGGAATGGTGGATCAGCGACTGGTCCATCAAGGCGCTGATAGATGTAACTGTAGAAGAAAGCTCGATTCAACGCCAGGTTGTGGAGGTGGAGCAACTTGGAACGATTGGCAAACCACTGTTGAAGTAGAATATGGTTATAACGGGGAAGTTGACTCAAAGCAGTCGGTGGGAGGCGTAAATCACTTTCGGACATGGTGACACAATTCTCTGGGTTCGCTTGGTCCATCTTACGAGAGATAACGTCAAAATTGTCTGGCGGAAACCAGCGAAACGGATTTGAGCCTTCTTGCGGGAGAACAAATGGGAGAATCGCACAACTGCAGCAAACAATAAGTGCGAGCTTCAGCCAATTAATATCCATTGTGTAGGACTTTTGACCTAAATAATGAAAGAAACAAATACTTTATCAAAGACATGATTCGAGAAGCTGAAAGGTATGGTTGCTAATCGATCTCAATGGCATTCTTGCTGTAAGTGTAGATCCAGATTGATTGAATGATAGGTTGAAGGTGTAGTAAATGCTGTACAGCAACACTGAGTCCCTTTCCCGTCTACTTATATTCCTTTCTTCACAATAAGGCTTTCAAATAAATCTTGGTTGCACGGCAGTGAACACCGATGTTATACGGTCGATGATGGGCTTCCGGTCAGAAAGTTCGCTATTTCAAACTTACTCTTGTAGTTACTACGAAGCTAACTTGGGAATTTGTTATACGGCAAACAAACACTGTTGTTAACCATGCCGAACAAAAGAGTGTCCGAGTATAAATTAATTCATACAAGCAGCTCCCACTGTACGAGTGCCACAGTTGTCGAAGTTGTCTCCGCATGGCTAACACGATCGAATGTAACGGGCGTTTTTCAAAAACCTGAGAGTCAGGCAAGAACTGCCAAGTGAGGGCTTATTTTTACTGATTTGAACCACAAATGACTCAGCAATGAGGCACGATGTTACTAGCACGTGTTGCATCTCACCACTGTCAACCATTATAAAAACCGTTATTAGTGCATATAACTTCTGAGGTATATTATGGCTATCACCACCTGCGCACTGATATCTTCAAGCTCGTGATCGGTGAGATAATGAGAAGAGCACTGAAAAGTGTTAAAAACGCCGGAGTTCAAATAGCCTCTGACGTAAACCTTGTCGATCTAGAATATGCAGAAGACATGGTTCTCGTTCTGTCCTTTGGTATGCACTCTGAAAACACTGAACACGCCACTTACAATCCAGGTGGACGCACTTGGGTTTGCGGAGCGTTTTACGTACCTTGGAAGTTGGGGGCAATATGGCTGTAGTTAAGGCACGAATTTACTGACCGGAAGGTCTGTGGTTCGAACCCGACCTCTGCCTCTCGGAGCTTGGGCAACCTGGCAGTATCCCTGTCCTCGTGTTTCCTTCTCGTGGCACCGAATTACACACCAAAAGGGTGCTACAGCTGAACGAACTTGGAAGTTGTATTAGTTCTGATTGTTGTGTGACAGCTAAGATCAAAGCACGAATCTACAAGGCTCGGGTCGCGTTCGCTAATTTAAGACACCTATGTCATCAAAGCGACATATACCTGAAGCTCAAGGGAAGTGTGTATTAGGCTAAAGTGCAAACTGTTTTGTTGTGTAGCTGTGAGACTTAGCCTACTTGAGCAGCGAAATCGAAATGTCTTCAGGTGTTTGACAATCGTTGTCTCAGGACCATTGCTCGTGTAGGTTGGTGTCGAAGAGTCTGTTACGAGGTAATTAGAAAACGAGGTTTCGGTTGTGCAGCGGAAGCTTCCATTGGTCGCTCATCGATGTCAATGGCGTTCTTGTTGTCAGTTTCCATGCAGATTGCATGAATGAGTGTCTGGAGGTGTAGGCACCACGGAATGTTTGAAGCAGGGTGGCACTAAGTCCCTTCCCCGTCCACCTTTATTATAACAACGTTTTCAAATAAACATGGTTGCACGGCAGCGAAGCATCAGTGCTGAAAACTGATGTCATGCTGTCCACGATGATGATTGGAAAGATTTTATTGATCCGAGACAGAGGTAGGAGGCTAATGTACGGGAGATAGTTCGGGAGAGAGCCGGTCCAAGCCAAGGACTGCCGACTCGCCAGACCATTTCAACAAAGAGGTCTAACCGACGAGAAAAATTCAGAGGGGCCAAAAATGTAAATTTCCACCGGAAGAGTTAGTTTGTGGCGTTGTGCGTGAGGACAGAAACGTAGAAGGAGCTGTCCTGAAAGGCGGGTATCTACGAGTATCTACGAGAACACCGGATCTTGAGGTGGGCTAAAATGAAAATGTGGTTCTGAGTAGGACAGATATCGAACGACCTTCGTTACTCTTCGCTGAAAATGTTGTAAAATGGCTTCTCCAAGCTTAAGCCAGGGATTCCACAGTCGACCAATTTTGTGCAAGAGGTAGGATACATTTGAAATACATTTAGGAAGCTGGTGGATGGGAAAGAGCCGCGGAGGAGACAGGCTGATGGCATGGCATTTGAAGCGGACGACTGGGGTCAAGGGCCAACAGCAAGTATTTTAACGTTACACACTTTTTGTTCTACTTTTTCACTCTGGTGCTCATTCGAATTTGGTGCCATTTCTTCGTGATGCAACCGAAGGCACACATGTGCATGCTTCACCTTCTTACTCATACGTACTCTTACCCACGGTTTACTGCAACACAATCGACAGATAGATAGATAAGGCTGTTCGCCTTATCTAAGTGGGTCCGGAAATACAATTGATTCCAAAATTGACCCGACGATGGATTGTTTGCTGTTGAACCACTCTCCAATCAACCACCCCTTGTCTACAGCTTACCGTCGCAATTGCCCTAGTCGGTTCGGACATAGCATTAACAAGTGTATTCTATGCTATGTATAGTTAATTGTTTTAACTCTACTCGACTGGTTACAGATGGAGTGTAAGTGGTTAAGGACGGAGTTGCAGAAAGTCATACACGCAGTCCTGTCGTTGTCGATTGTGTGGGACACACGACGCACCTAATGGGAGAAGCGGCTCCCTGCAAGGTGACTGCAGAACACCGAATCCCAAAGCCAACTACACATTGAAGCAGAGTATTCGGGTGGGAGCCCATAAGGCAGAACGTTAAAACCGCACTTTCCGGTCTCCCGGTTGAAGCGCTGGAAGCAGCGATGCAATTCTTTGATCCGTAGTCTCACTAAGGCTTTCGGCAGTATCGCACAAGACGCGAAACCTGGACGGCAATCGCCATCCAGCGTTTGGACCACGTGCCGCGTACTCAGCAGTGGACCAGGCCGGGTCTTGGCTGTTGATTGGTCAATTAGTCAATCATCCAACAAGCCAGCCAGACAGGTGGGGAGGCTGTTGGTCCGTTTGTCTAGTTGCACATCCTACTTGTCAAGTTAGGCGGACGGATGTAGAGAGCACAGGCCATGGTTCCCTGGGGCTCCATCACTTTCATGGATTCACGGACTGATACACAAGATCGAGGATTTTGCCCAAGTTTCCCCGGTCGGTTTTGTTCTTGTCGTTCAGCGGTTGCCGTCCACTCAGTCACTTGAAGCTGTTCTATTCCGAAGCTGTTTTTCGCCTTTTAAAACATTCCAAAAGTTGTTCCGAGAGACAGAGTTCAGCAATAGTATGCTGAAAGTATGTTACGCTTGGCCACTTTGCGCTTTTAAATCTCCCCTGATCGCCCCACTGCCAGGTGAATACTCTAAAATTGCCGCCTCCATCAAATGTTAAAATCAATTCCTCGTTAATCTTCAGTCACATCACCCTCTTCAACCCATCGCTGTCAGTTGGCATACATCAATCTCAACCCGTCTACAGTTAGCCGATGAAATAATAGCGCGACCAAGCAGGCGAGAATTTAACGAACGCCCCATTGACTGCTCCATGGTACCCACAACCGTGGCCTCCAAGCACCCCAGAGCCTAGCATGAAGATGATCCCCTGGATACAGTGGCGCTTAACTGGTCACGGAACGGAATTACGAGTGCCAACTTGCATCTAATAACACCCACGTGTAAAAAAGATTCAACCGGCTCCCACATCCAGGACGCCGGCGAGGCCATGGACAACACTGAAATCACGAACACTTCAACCAACGTTTGAAGACATCAAATTTGCAATCGAGCCGGATAAGAACAATTTGCTTTACACTTTGAGGTTTAAGTCAAAAAGAAGTTGGATTGGATATCTTTGTATACTGGAAATAGACACATAAGGATGGAACAGTCAGTTACAGCAGCAATCATCCAATGGACCACAAGAAGAGTTGCGTCCAANAGCAATCATCCAATGGACCACAAGAAGAGTTGCGTCCAATCCCTGTTCAAGATAGCAGAAAACGCGCCGCAGCACCATAGAATTACGAATGAAGGAGGAAAATCACGTATTCAGGGCGCTCCAGAAAGATAGATATCCAGGGGATTTTATGAAGAGAAGCCTGAAGAAGAAAACATATCAGCAACATCAACAACGAGAACAAGTGACCAGACGGTTTTCCTACCTTATATCCAGAATTAATCTGATCTTACAACAAGCCTTTTGGTGAAGAAAGGAATCATCGTGGCCCACAAACTGAATTGGACTTTGCGGGATCTGCTCTCCAGACCAAGGGACAACCAAGGCAAAGTCAAGAGGAATAATCTGATATACCAATTCAACTGCAACAAATGCCACAAATTCTCCTGTTGACAAACTGAGAGTAAATGAAGCATACGAGTAAGAACACAACACGTCTGTGTAATGTACTGCTCATAACGCAATATCTCGAATATCGTGGCGACTGGAATATGAGGCGTCCTGGTGCAGCACATTCAGTCGCCTGAGAACATCACAAACCAGGGATTCAGCTGGGTTACAGGTGAGAGTGTCGAAAAAACCAAATTAGTTTGCAAATGAGTGTATATTCGCCAACACAACGGTTTCTTCAAGGAACGTGGCCCATATCCTGATATCCATGCACGGAAACCAAGAAGGCCACAAATTCAATATGGGAAACGTGGAAATTTGCGGAGGCGCGAGGCACGGAGGAGAATTTCCAGGGTCGTGATGCCCCACTACTGGTTTGGTCAACCGATACATTGAACTGGACCCCATTTACGCACCACTACGTGCAGCGAACCACTCCTCCACCGAAATATTCAAGGAGAGCCAAATATCGGATTCAGAAACCAGGTAGCAAGGAACCACTTGGAGCCTGATCAACAAAGGTCAAAAGCCGGAACGCAGAGCTCAACGACTGAGGTCACTTCAAGATCGGTCGGAGCCCGAGGACAGGCGAGTCCTGGCTCACAATTTAAGTGATCATCGATCACCCAGGACCCCGGATAAGAGGACAATTAATCGAACCGTCAGACCGAACACCCAATCGTGTTCGAGGGTCAACGCCGGCTAGCAGCATGTATATTGACCCAAACACAACACTACTCAATGCACCACCACCAACCCGTCACTATACTCCACCAGGCTCCAGGACAACGCACTTATATTATCTCGATTGGTGATGAAAAGTTTGCAATCAAACTGTTCAGCTCATTGAACAAATAAACTGTTTA